CACAGGTGTAACTTCAGAATGGCTGAATTCCATTTAGCTGTTTAGGTCACAGGGTCCTTGTATTGTGCAAGCTGACACACAGACACACTGGTGTGGCTTACTGGAAAAGAACAGACCCATCATGAATATCATTAAATCCATGTGTGCTTTTCCTACAATGACGAGTCAAAATGTCTGCTGTGAAAAAGATCCATTCAGTAAATATTTTGTCATAAACTTGCTTATTTTATTTTCCTTAAACCTACTGCTGTTATCTGTTCCAAATTAAAGCTGTAGCCATACAAATACATCACCTGTGTAATTTACATTTAGGCCTACCTTTTTTCCATACTATGTGTATCGGCTTCATTTTGAATAAACGGGACAAACATTCACAAAATATTGATGTCACAGAGGCATAGAACAAACAAGCAATAACTTATTATACTACTTGTGTTTTTTATTTAACATATCCAATCAGCAAACAGCAGCACCACATACAACACACAAGAGGTTACATCTTTACAGTATTTATTATTATAATATATACAGAGTATTTTTTGAATATTTTTTTATTTTGTCAGTGTCATGAAAGACTTACAGTGAGACAGTGACTGTAAAATTGGACATGTCTTATGATCTCTTTGCTGAATACTCTATTGAAACATGTCCGTAGCTGTAAAACGTCTTATCTGTAATGCTTCTAAGCAACTTTACTGATGGACTTTATTCACATATTCAATCATAAAATGATTTCAAAAGACAATCTTATCTTTCCATCTATGTGTAGCGGCGGGCCTTAGGGGGGAAATGAAAGGGAACCAACAACGCCACCTGGGGAATTACACCCTGGGAAATATAAGCTTAACGACCCAAATATATGGTGTAGAATTTGTTAAGGGCACACAGATGCGTGTTTTGTAAAAATGAACCGAAAATGTATTAAAGGAATCTATGAAAATCATCAAAACAACAGCCAAAACATGCAGAACAAAGGAAAAACAGTCAAAACATGCAAAGCAGAGGAAAAACTGCCAGAACATGCAAAGCAGAGGAAAAACAGGCAAAATGGAGGCAGCAAAACAGCAGCAGGTGAACCACCTCACATATGGGGTAAGTAGTCAGACGGCAACAAGAGGAGAAAAATGTCTGAAACCCACCATGAGCCACCACAGAGTACCAGGGGCCAAAAGAAAGGAGTGAGGCCAGAACCACGGGTGCGTTTTATTTGCTGGCACTGATTGAGGGGATGAGCCATCTGAGGGCTGCGTTCACAACCCTACACTTCCTTCTCTGGGGAGCGTTCCCCACTATGTGTTCACTTTATACACAAAACCAGTATGCTAAGTATGTCAGCGCTGTGGAGGAAAGTAATCCAATGATGAATCAGATTAACGATTAAAACTTAACTGCACTTTTATGAATACACTGACAAAGTGAAATTGTGAAAACAAAACCATTCTTAATAAATAAAAGACTTATATCACACTGCTCAATTAAGGCCCAAGTCACACAGAGCAGAACACATTACAGCAACAATGCAATTATAGAACAAATAGGACTATATACACCACACACGGTTCAATATCCATTTAGGTTGCACAACAGTTAATCAACCTCTATCTAATTTGGGAAAGCCCTCCCTCTTTGCTGATCTACACAGCTGCTGTCTCCTGGGGAAAATCCACTGTAACTCTTTGTCTACTTGATGACACAAACTCAGCTGTAGATCCAAAATAATAAACACCAAGTCCAGCATAGAGTGGCTGACTGAACTTGGTCTTGACTTTGTAGAGGAGAGTGAAAGTCTCAGAGATGCGGTAGAAGGACAGAATCCCTGCCTTGTGATCCAGGAACACCCCGACTCTGGAGGACTTGGGGACGTTTGGAATAATTGTTTTTTCACCGTTATGTTTGTAATCATAAATTGTATGAGTATTTTTGTTCACACACATCAATGCCCAAGACTTGTCATTCTCACCAAATATACTTGCATCTCCTGTTCTGGCAATATCCCTGTATGCAACTGCTACTGAAACTCCTAAGCCGCTCCACTCCACTTCCCAGTAATGACGTCCAGTCAGACGTCTTTTACACACAGCCTGAGACCTGTCCATGAATCTGTTTGCGTGATTAGGATACGACTGTATATCTTTCATACACGTTACTTTTCTGTTTTCTTGAGACAATAACATCTGCATGCTCGCCGTGTTTTGATCCAGTTGGAAATTGCTCACGTGATCTGCATATTGTGAGAATTCAGCTCTCGTCTTGGGGTCCTGTGGCAGTAAAACATCCACTTCACTCACTGTCATTGAGATCTTGTTCCATTCCTTTCTACAACTTTCCTGTAGTTTTTCTCTGGCCGCTGACACAGACGCAGTCACATCCTTAAAGTATTGCAAAGAGCGTGTGTTGCAAGAGGGTAAGGCGGTAGAATTAGGGAGACATGGCAGCGAGGCGTGTTTGAGCAGAAACTGGGTTTGATCCTCCGTGTGTGACAGCTGCTTCAGCTCAGTGTCCCTCCTCCTCAGATCAGTGATCTCCTGCTGCAGCTTCTCCTGAAGCTCTTTGGCCCGACTCACTTTAATTTGCTGCTTGAATTTGATCTTACGCTTCACATCAGAGTTTCTTTTCTCGATGAGATTAATCAGCTCAGTAGACATCTTCTCACTGTCCTCCGCTGCTGCATAAGCAGAGCGATTGATGGCCTTCATCTCCTGCTGAAGCTCCTTCACAACCTTCTCTCGGCTTTGGATTCTCTGCTGGATTTCTTGTCGACTTGTTCTGAGCTCTCCCTGCCTCTTGGCCATTTCTGTTGAGGCTCTCACTGTGTTGTGGCCTTTGTGTTCATTCATTGAGCAGTCAACACAGATACATCGCTTATCAGTGTGGCAGAAAATGCTCTTCACCTCGTCATGTTCGGTACAGATGTTTTCCTGGAGCTTTGCAGCTTCGACCAGCCTGTGTTTCTTTGATGGAACTTCAAAGTGTTGTTGGATGTGCTCCTTACAGTAAGAGACCCGACACTGCAGACAAGACTTGAGAGCTTTCCGTTTTCTCACAGTGCAGACATCACATCCCACATCTTCAGGTCCAGCGTAGCAGTGATCAGCCGGAGCAACTTGGTGTCCCGTCTTCTTCTGTCCCTTCATTGAATCTGCAAACATGCTGTTTTCCGCCCGCGCAGGCCTCAGTGTAAAGGTCTGTCTACACTGAGGACAGCTGTGGACTTCTTTCCTCTGATCCCTCTTATCCCAGTGGCTTTTAATACAGCTCATGCAGTAGTTGTGCCCACAGGGAATAGTCACTGGATCCTTCAGTAGATCCAGACAGAGGGAACAGCAGAAATTTCTCCGGTCAAGCTGATGCTGTGCTCTTTTCCCTCTCAGTGATAGTGAGCTTGTGAATATTAATATGCCAAGAGGGAAGAGGGAGTGGTTTCAAGTTTTGCTTCATTCCAGAAAGAGGAGGGGTTAGGAACAACTGGTGTGTGTTCTTCCCCTTCATCCCTCATA